AAAAGAGAATGGAAGCACATCTCCATTTCATGCTTCTCAAAATTATTATGTGGTCTGTGAAGAGATTGTTTCTACTCACCCTGACTCTTATGTTTTATGCAAGCATCTCAGTTTTATGCAAGCATATATGTCCTAGAGTTGCAACAGAGTTCAGCTAGTGTTATTTTCTAAATTTCTTTTTCTGGAGATTTTAATGACACTAATCAAACTTCCCAAAGACTGATTTTCTAAACAAGAAAATAAAGTTTTACCTTTATAGTTGTTACCACCCCTATAAATCTAATCAGATAGCTAGCTGTTAGCTCCAACTTCCTTGTATCAAGTTTCCTAGGAAACAAATAATAATCATTAGATTTTTTTCGCAATATAGATTCTGGGCAGAGAGAATTAGGTTGTGGTTGATGAGTAGTTTCACCAAAGCTACAGTGAGCACTCTTCTCACAGCGATCTGTTTCCCAGCCGCTGGGAGATAGATAGGTCCTTTCTCAATAGTACTAGAGACAAATGTAGCAGAATCTTCACTTGGTCTTTTCCTGGGTTGTGGATGTGTCTAGATGTCATACTTGATCAGAACCTTTCTGTTGGACCTGGTTATTACATTTATCCTTCTTCATCCACTCTTCATTTACTTAGTTGGCACATGTTTAGTGAGCACCTACTTTGTGCTGAATAGGTTGCCAAAATAATAGTGGGAGTAAGATAATAATAACAATAGCTACCATTTATTGAGCATCTATTAGTAAGAAATGCTATTCTACAAATTTCATTATATGTCTTAACGAATACCCATAACAATAGGTACAATGAGGAAATTAAAGAATGAAGATAAAGATCCATAAATCATTCTTTCTGTCCTTTGGGTAGCTCACAGTCTAGTGAGTGAGTGCTTCAGAAAGAAGGTACTTTTGAAGGATGACTAGGAGTTTGTCAGATGGCCAAGGGGGAAAGTATTTCAGGAAAAGGGGCAAATATACAGACATAAAGGCATGAAATGGTAAGTATGGTATCTACTGAAAATTGCAAGTGCTTCAGAATGATTGAAGCATGGTATATTATTGGGTGGATATAGTAGGTAAGTCCTAAAAGACAGGCAGGAAACTTAAAGTAACATTTTGTGGAAATTACTTATGGTAAGGAAAGAAAAGTGTTACATTCTCTATGTTTAGGGAGGAGATAGGAGCAGGTACCTTCTCCTGAAGGACCTATGTCACAGGCTCCAAAGAAAAAACAAAGGGACAACTTTCCCCAGAAACCATGGAGGAGAAGAGTGTATGGGGATCGTGTGTGTAAAGATGGTAGCTGGGTTAAGAGTGGTTGATGGAGCAAGGATTAATGGAAAGAGCCATCAACATAAAGTCAGGGCCAACTGAACTAACAGGAACAGAGGCCAAATTGACCTGAGCAGGGTCTGCTTAGTATTGTGTTTTAAAATACTGGCCTTCAAGACACCAAAATTCTTTGAGATGTGCATGTCCTTTGATCCAGCAATTCACCTTCAGGAATTTTTACCTTAAAAAAAATTAAGGTTGGGTGTATAGTTTTAGCTAAAGCTAGTCATCACAAGATTTCTTATATAACTAAAAATTAGAAGCAACTTAAATGTCTAACGGTAAGGGATTGATTAAATAAATTATGGGGGCTTCCCTGGTGGCACAGTGGTTGAGGGTCCGCCTGCTGATGCAGGCGACACGGGTTCGTGCCCCGGTCCGGGAAGATCCCACGTGCTGCGGAGCGGCTGGGCCCGTGAGCCGTGGCCACTGACCCTGCACATCCGGAGCCTGTGCCCCACAACGGGAGAGGCCACAACAGTGAGAGGCCCACGTACCGCAATAAATAAATAAACAAACAAACAAACAAATAAATAAATAATGGAAAATCCATACAGTGGAATAGACAGCAGCTAAAAGAAATGGAAGAATATTTTGCTTATAGGAAAAGACTCATGCTATAAAATTATCAGGGGAAATGTAAATAACAGTATAGTCAGTATAACTAAATCCTATGCCTCCGACCATAACAACTTCTACTCAGAAAATAATAATAAGTTTGGAATTGTATTAACCAAGGTGTTCACACTGATTGTCTCTTGATAGTAGGATTAGAGTTGATTCTTATCTTTTTGTTTTGCTTATCTGAGTTTACTAATTGTTTTTAACTTTGAACATACATGATGTGTATAATAAGTCTGGCCTCTTTGTAGCAATTAAAGTTCATTTATTTCAGTGTCACCAAACACTGACTGTAGAGGGTGAGTGATGAGAGTCTACATTTGGCTGAGTGAATAACCTAAAATGATAGTTGTAACATACCACAATAGAAAATATAGTGTGTGCACTCAAATTGCTTTAAAATGTCAATGAACTTAGAACTGTATCTAGACTGTGGGTCCTTAAGGGACATACACAAGGAAAAGAAAAGAAGAAAACTCTTTAATAATAGAATCATTAATCATTACTTTAATAACAGAAATCAGAAATTAATAACCCTATACTGTGACAGCAAAGAGGGAAACTGAGACCCATCTGGCAAGTGAGACAGCTTGCTGGCCCGATTGTTCACCATGAGAGTTAAATCAACCACCTGAAAGGGGTTATTATCAACAGGAGGGGGGACAATCGAGCTCTGAAAGTTTGCCTTAAAAATTTGCTTTAACCCAGCAATTTGACTCCCAGGAAACTTTCTCCAGATAAGTCCACATACATGGAAAATGTCTATCCAATGGGGTTTCTTGCTTTATTGTTTGTAAGAAAAATGTTTTAAAAATCAGAATGTCCATCTTAGAGAATTGGGTATATAAATTATATTACAGTAACACTATGAAATTCTATGCAACCACTAAAAATAACATACTAACATGGTAAAAATCCCCCAAACACAGTGGTAAGTTTTTCTAAAAAGGCTAATAAGTGTAATATTAGTGTCCCATTTATGTTTTAATAGAGGACCTTAAGTGTTATTCTATATTTGATGGTTGGAATTTTTAAAATTTATACTCAGCAGGCACTTGTTTTTTAAATAAACAATTAGACTTAAAAATCAAATCTAAAAATATGTGCAGTATCATATAACTAGAATTTTTAATATATTTTAAATAGTTTATTATATTATAGAATTCTATAAGTATTTATGGGATTATGTTCATGATGAATGAATTAGGCACCTCCAAATGTTAGTGTTTTTAGCCAAATTAATTGGTAGCTCTATTGCAGAAGATAAAAGACTGCTCAAGTCTTCTCAGTTTTCTAATACTTTATGAAATATAAAAATTCCCTGAAAGAAAATAAAACCACTCATTTCACTACCATTATCAGTTAACTTTTCCCATTTATTAATTCTTGAAAAATTTTTATAAATCCTGTAGTATATGTCTGGCACAGCAGAATAGAAGGCAGAAATGGTCCTATTCTCTGTGGAGCATATAGTATTTTGAACATCTAACCACGTGGTACAAAATTAAGGAGGTAGCAGACATTAGTAGACAGGTGTTAAAAGAGACACAAACTAGTTCAAACAAAAGCAATGTATAGATGAATAAGTGATATGCAAATTATATGCATATATGTATATGTACATCTATATCATAAATAAATATATATTTTATATATTTAATCACCACTATGCCTAACTATGCTCATTTAAAAATAAATGATGCCAATAAATAAATAAAGCAACTCAAATACATAGAGGGCAGTTCAACAACCACTGCAATGTTAATAATTCAAAGAAAATTAACAACTCAAACGTCAAATCTGAGATTCAGAAAATAAGTAAAATAGAGCAACACAAAGAACATCTGGATTTAGGGAGTCTTTATTTGATGGTTTAAAGACAGGCTATAGGGAAGTAAAGCTAATTTCCCTCCTATTAAAGATTTTGCCTCTTCTGCTTATTATGTTTAGCGTATTTGGATTTCTTTGAAAGGGCTTAAAATGTTCTAGGCAGCCACAGAGAGAGAGTTGGGACTATGAAGGAACATAATCTCTGTTGTAGCTATTTTCACATTGCATTTCTAATTATATGCTCACACATTCACATCCCCAACTAAACAGAGTTCCTTGAGGGCAAATATTCTGTTTTCTTTACCTCTGATTCCCTAATATAGGGCATAGTTCCTGGCACAGAAGAGATACTGACTGAATACATAAATATATAGTATTATACAATCACAAGTTATTTTTCTGGGGTCAGTATTCACATGGGTACATGACTACTAAGATAATTAGCCGAATTTTATATATGTATGTAACTATATCTCATATTTTATAATATATTTACAAATATATTTGTTATTAGGCTAATTATCTTAGTAGTCACTCATATATGTGTAAAGATTGCCATAGATAATCAAGGGCAACTGACAGGCAATATCCCACAAAACCCCCTTTACAGCTCAGGAATGAAAAAAGAGGCCTTCGCAGAGGGGAAGAGCAGAATCAACCCTCCATTATCTGCTCATGGAGCTCTAAATAGTATGAGAAAACTCCTTATGGCCAGTCTTGACAAAACTGGGTTACTATTATTCCAGTATTATTGTTTTATCCCAACACACAGTGTCCTACAGTACTGGGATTAGTAGAAAGTGATAAGTGATTCTCCGTAATAATGAAAGCATGGATTCAATATGACTACAGACAAAGGATTAAAGAAACGGGAAAAGTATAGCCTATTATGACTCTGCATAATATGGAAGTTCTTAATTTTGAACCAAAGTTTTTATAACCTGTCACTATTTGTCAAATCTTAGTAGCTAGACTAAAAATGTCTTCCATTTCATCTTTACTAAGAATGTGGGACACTTGCTTCCTTTTACCCAGGCGGGAATTTGAATACCTATTTTGAAATCTGTAAAAAGCCTTTGGCTGTCAATGCTAACTAATTTCTTGACAGAGATTTGTCCTTTGTTGTGAATAAACACAGTGGTTTTAATTGTGGGAATACCTAGCTCAAAACAAATGAGTGCGCAGCTACTATATTAAGCGTGTGTTTTCTTCTGTTCACAGAAAACTCTGAATGCCAGTTTTATGTCTGGGCAATTCTAGCCTTCTTGGGTTTAGCTCTGACTATATCGCTTATCTTCAACATTTCCCACTATGTGGAAAAGCAGCGACAAGGTAAGACATTTTCAGAAATAGCCATATGAAACCTGCTTGAGTGGATATTGAGTCACTGGAAAACCTACAGAATAAGATGATTTTATGAAATGTTATTCAGTAAGATATTTTTATCTGTAGAAAATCTATCTGGTACTTTTTTTTCACGCTGAGGGTTCTCTTGATTTAAACATGTAATCATGTGAGAAATGTAAACAGACTCCCAATTTTAGCTTTATCTCTACTAGAGGGTACAGCGTAGGAAGGGATTATCCTGGGAAAATGTATTTTTCCATCTTCCTCCTCCAGTTGAACAACTCATGAAATTGTAGCCTATTCTGGAGCATCTGTAAAGGTTCTTTCTGGTGTGTGATGAGAAGAGTGAAGACTAGGTCTTTTAAGGTTCCACACAAGTCTATTCAAACTTCTCAGCAACAGTCGGCCTCTAGAGTGCAGCAGGCTTGGTTGGGATCAGAAGGGAACTGGAAAAGCAATAGACTGAACCACGGGCTTTTTATCAAACACTCCCAGAGTCTAGGATCTGCCACCGACAGCTTTTCTTTCCATTAAGCTGGGCAGAAGTATTAACCACGTGGCTTTCACCCTCTTGTGCCATGATTGAATTAGTGTGGTGCGCATCAAGTGGCACAATGTTTGCACGCTGTAGGCACTCAACATAGGTATGTATGCTGAACACAATGACGGGTGAATGGAGGAATGAAAGTTCAGCTATTTCGTGGAGTGCTCTTAATATTCTAGAACCAAAAAACTCCTGGGGGCAGGACATTTAGGTGGTAAACACATAGAAAAGAAAAGGTAAATACATTTTCTTTAAACAGATGAAAATAAATAAAGCAAAGTTAACAAAACTAAGTTAAGTACATGTGTCCAAGTAAAAGTACACGGAGCTAAATTAGAACAATGGTCAGATTCCAGAGAGAGTCCTTGATCCGCTTAAGAGTGTCTTAAGTGTTGATAATGCTAATGTAAGGTATGAAGAAGGCATTATTGTCATACAGATTTGAAAAAAAAAAGATGAGAGTCACTAGCAAATGAAGTGACATGGCTGAGGTCTCACGTCTATTCAATACCAAAATCAAGGATAAATGCTCAGTTTTTCTAATTATCTGTTTAAAACAGTTTCCAGCAGCACATGCTCCTTTTACACTGTTGACCCAATGTCCTCAGCCAGAAACCCAACACTCGTTTAGGCTCTCTATTACATCATTTCTATGCCAAAGATGAAATTCCAGGTAAGCAACACATTTTCATTAGCAATGATTTCAGTAGTTATTTTTTATTTTCAAATATTTTTCAGACTAACAAACTTTATATGTCAGTGCAAGATGACCCATCAGACATCTTCTAAAAAGTTTCCTTCCTTTATAGAAAGAAGAGAGCTAACAGTAGCACTTTTCTTTGTATAATAGCTTAAGATGACTACATTTCAATTATTTTATTGAAGTATTTTATGAATGCAGATAATATTGTCACCTGAATTAGTAAAAGGTGAACTGAGAGCTGTAAGAGATGAAATAATTTAAGGTGGGAACCAGGACAAGAATTTATCTGAGCCAGTACTTCACTCTTGCTTGATTCCGGCCGAAATCCTCTGGAGATGTGTATGGGGCCAGGGAACAAGCGGTTTTATGTGTTTAATGTAAACCCAACTGTTTAACTTAAATTTTATTTAGCAAATTTGACCTATTTACTTTCAACCTAAATAGTCCTTTTTTTCAGCCCTATGATTGCATTGAATTGTGGGGAATATGTATGTTTAGAATCACTTTTTATCAATGTGATCAAGACCAGGGCTGGTCTAATTTTACTGACCTATTACTTCTGCCCAGAACTATTTGGCTGTACCAGTCTATTACAACACAAGGTGAATAGGTTTTCCAATTCTCATTTTTGGTTGTTTGTGTATTGGAATTTATTTACCCATATTCATACCGTTTTGCTACCGTACAAACTTTTGGGGGGAGTTAATTGCTTGTGATGATTAGTTGACCACTGTTAAAAGACAGTTGCCTAACTAAAAAAAAGTGGGCTTTTCTTTTTTTACAAAGGCAGATTTTTTTTTTCTTCTTTCTAATTGTACAAACCCAGGCATGCTATATGTGACTCTATTGCCTAAAATCAACAGAGTGGGAAAGAACGCTTAAAAAAAACAGGAAATTGTGAATGACATTTATTGATGTACTTTTAAAAATCAATTTCAGTTCCCTCAATTGTTTTTAAAATCACGGCTTTTGAAGTCAAGCTGACCTGTATTAGAACTCTGTTTTCAATATCTACCTGGGAGAACTTGTCTGAGGAACGTAACTTCTCTGACTTTCAGATTCCTTATCTACAAAATGTGGAAAATACTATCTAGACCATGGAGTTCTTGTGAGAAGTATGCAGATACCTTAGCACAGTGCTGAGGATTTAGTAGGTGGGTCCTGGACAGGGTACAGCCCACGTCACTGTTCCTGGTGGCCCGGGTGCTTCCTTCTTTCACTCCTTCCACAAATGTTTGTTAGAGGTTTACTATGGCTTCATTTAATTTTAATGTCTGTTATTTCAGTGAACATTAGTTTCTCTGGCTTTTTCACCCCTCCCACCATCCTTAAACTCTCTAAGCCCTCTCCAGCTCTCATCCCATTTCCTGCCCCCCGTCTCTTTATTATTTAACATGTCTGTACAATAACCTGAGTTTTAGTGATAACGGTTGTGTTCAAGTCTGTGAACATACAGGTTCATTTTAGAGAGTTTTCTGTAGGCTTCCATGGAGTTGGTTCTAAATATTAGTCTGTCTCCAATTAATTTATCTGAGCAGTAAAGAGCTAAAGACTTCTCGAACACATCCCTTTTCTGTACCCTCACCGACTCCTTCATGGTGATCTTATGCCCTACAGATGCATATGAGCCCAGTGGATTGCCCTGCAGCAGAGCCCTGCCTCTCCCTTTCTAAGGATGGTGAAAAAGACAGAGACGCCAGTGGGAGGGGGAGAAAAAGACACCTAGAGAGAGGGGAGTGGAGATATGCCAGAGTGCTCCAGTCTCCACCACAGCCCCCTGATGCTCAGGCCCCTCACTGCTGCACTGCACCATCACTCCCACCAGCCAAAGACACTACGCCCTTACCCAGGTCTGAGTCAGGTCCCACAGACTCTGCCTGACTACTCCAGGCAGGATGAAGTGTCCAGCAGGGGAGTCACAATTTTCAGCACTGGGTCAAGTATAGGGATGGAGTGTTATCTCATACCCTCATGTGCACCTTCCCATCCTTTTAGGACACCCTCTTTCCCCCACACCCCACCCCACCCTGAATACCCTAGACCTGCAATCTGCTAGGAATTATGGTACCACCCACTTCCACCACCGGGACTTGGGTTGGGTCATGGGTAGGCTCACCCCCGAGCTCATGGATCCAGAAAAAAAAACAAAAAAAGACTGAGACTTCACTGGATCTTTACTCCTTAGGCGGAGCACATTACCCTGGGTCTTGCACTTTATAGATGTGCAAATTTAAGATTAGCCTTGGAACAGTGTTTGTTGTTGCCAGATAAGGCCCTTTGTTCTTATCCCATCTCCCCTTTTTCTCTCTGCAGTCCATTCCCAACCACTCAAGTATTACTAATGACCCATCCTTTCTACCTCATATAAGCAAACAGCACTGTCTTTCTTTCTCACCCAGAGATTCCAAGTGGATTTGGGATTAGCTCTGCAAACTGTTTGACTCCTTTTCAGTCCTCCTGAAGACTCCTCACTGCTTTGTTTCTCCTGGACAGACAGACTAGAAGAGATTGCATCATATTAGCCAAGTTTTCTGCCCCTTGGTCTGTGTACACAATGCCCCTGCATCTGGCCTTATGTAGCTTTTTATTTCTACATCTTTGTGCTATTCTTTGTGGCTAAGAAACTTGCAAGATATGACTCCACCTTGGCAAACAGTTAGCGAGTAAGTTTTGCAGGTGTATTAAATAGCTTAAAAAAGAAAATCTCTATCCCAGCAACAATGCAGTATCTACACATTCAATCAGATAGACAAGATAAGCCACTCCTTGATGTTTTCTGTAGCAGGGCTAGGTAGAAGCTTTGAAATGGAGTCCTCCTTCCCCCCAAATAAATCTTTCATTTGTATGTGATTCTTTGTCCAAATCTGTTCTTTACTAGGATTATATTTATCTCTTTTCCTGATAGGAATGCATTCACTTTTTCTTCCTTTAAGTCCCCAAAATATTCTTTATCTAAGCTTTCCTCTCTGTTTTGAGAAGGATAAAGAACTGCATGGTTTGCTCATACATCAAAGTCCTATCAGTGTATCTCCTATTTGCTAGAAAATTATGCCACATATTTCACATTAAAAATGTATCATAAAATTTGTATTATGGAGTTCAAACCATGTGTTCTTGTTTCTTGTTGTTATGTATCACACATGGAAGAGTGAACACTATAAAGGGGAAACATAAAAGAAAATGTTAGCTCACACCCTTTCAACCATGAACCTGACCACAGTGTTTATATCTGAATCACAAGAGAGGATTATGAAAACTCACCCAGCTTTTCTCACACAGAGTCTTGCAAACATAACTGCTTTATAATAAAGTAAAAACTGTGTTTGATTTTATTAAATATAACTGAAATGTTTAAGTAGGTTTTAAATCATGCCAGTTACTTTTAAATAAACCTATAAGGCCTGAGGACAGAGCAAGCTCTTTTCGGGAGCCTGAGCTTGCAGACCTTTCTCCTTTGCCGTAACCTCTAAACCTTTGACTGCTATACCTCTATTGAAAGAGATCATATTCTATCACACTTCTTATGGTAAGTATTGTAAAACTAAAACGACACAAGTACTGATTGTCCCACTCCAGATTATACATTTAAATTTTAAGAGTAGTGTGATGTGGTGACCTCAAACTTTTAAGGTTCCCTTTCAGGGTGCTTCTTCAATACAGTTGGTTTTGATGTGTAGTATCCTTTACCCATTACTTATTTTCTCCTTCTTCACATTGTTTTAGTTCCCTTTCATTCTACCTAAGCATCGCATTATTATATTGTAGCCTTTATATAGTTGTTTCTCTTTTTCACACAAAGCTTTTTGGTCTAAATCTTTTAAGTATTTATTTATTTATTTGCTTTTCTCTGCTGCTAATACATCGAACTACATTTTCCTTTTCCTTCTATAGAACTATCCTTTTACATATTACAGCAGTGTATTTTCCAGGCACCATCATTCATACTCTAAGCACCTCCAACTGGAAAATCCACATTATCTTTAAGAACTATTGGTCTGTTTGGAGAAACATTCTTACTCCATATCTAGTTTTTTTTATTCTATTTAAGTACTGTCATTATTTTTTGTTTGTTTTTATCTTTTCTTTGAATTTACTACTCAATTGGTGAAAATCTTCTTGCAAAAGGTGAGATTTGATTATTTCATTTCAAATCAAGCTTTACTTATAATTTTTTTATCTTTCAAATAGCATTTAAATTATATCAACTACTTTTCAGCTAATCCATTTAATGAAGAAACTTCGTAATTCAAATCAGCACAATTAAACGTGGCTTGCTGCAGGATATGGATTTAGAAATATAATATTGATAACCAACTTTGTCATTTTCTAAAATGTTTTTACATAAATTATTTCATTTATCTTCCACATCTACTCCATGATATAGGCATTATTAACACTATTTTATTGATAAACTAAGAATCAGTTTTGCAATGATTTTCATGTTCATTTGCAATGAAATGCATTGAAGAGCTGGTACCCAAATCCAGTGTCTTCTGATTCCTAACCCTGAATTTGTTCCATGATACCTCAGGCTACAGGTGGGCTAAATTCTTGTGTATGCACTTTAATTCCAGACAAATCTGAATAATAATTAATGACCTGAGTATAAACATGTACTTCATATAAAAAGAAATCAATACATACTTTATATTTGCCAGTTAACAATTTTCTAATCTATATTAACTAATTTTTATTCCTATGCTTATTGATATGTTTTACATTTCTCAAGCTTTCTGATTTTGCTGGGCTTCCATTAACTTGTGGCTACTGTGCAACAGTAGACTTCTCTAGGCTTCTCCCCACAACCATGTTGCATTCATATTCACAAAACTAGTCCGAAGGTAGTTGAAAACAGCTGCATCTTTTAGATGCAGTCCATGGTAAGACATTGACTGTGGGCTAGAAGAAACATATTTCTGACAGATCCCAAATGGGATTCATCACTTTCGGTCCCATAGCTGCTTCATGTTTGTGCTTTGCAAAAACTTCCCGCATTTGGTCATTTACAGAATTCTTCCAAACACATTGACACATGACATATCCATTTCGCCCTCCAATGTGGTGATTTTAATAATTTGTTTGAAACATTATTTAATAATGTTTCTCTAAGAGTTAATGACCTCCCTGGAAAATCACAACTTTGTCACACATAAATCTAACTAAAAATAGTCTTTGTAGTTGTTTGGTGACTTGCTCAATTATTGGGAAACATTTTTGTTAGTTTCTTACCAACACACAGTGTTTTCCAAATGTTAAAACGGAAAGATCACCATTTGATTGCTATTGTCTCTGAGTCACTGTCAGAGACTTAGATAATACTGGGCTTTACTTTCATATGATAGTTTTTGCAAGATTTTGGTTTTTATTTAATGCCAGGTTTAATAAAATGCAATCAAAATATAATAAATATCATATTATATACAACTATTCAGTTCAAAGAAAATTTATTGAGAAACCAGTAATACACACTGCTTCATAATTTTGACCTTAATTATTAAAACTGAACTCTGAATTTCTCTTAATTTTCCCTATTGCCTCTCTAAAAATTTCTTGAAACTATTTTTTTCCAATTTTGAATACACATATTTAATTTGAAGTACAAATACTTCCTTTCATTTGCCTTTGAACCACCACCTCCAAGGTTCAACAGTGGATACTTTGAGATTTGACCCCTACTTTTTTCATGATTTTACAATCTTACATCAAATCTCCGGTCAGTCTGGTTTTTGCAGACCAGCATACTGTTTCCCTTAAGAGCCATTCTACTGTTTTGATTACTTTTAGAGACTGTGTTGCCAACCTTTTCTGGATTTCTTCTCCCTAGAACCCTTATCTCTCCTTACCTCTCCTTTTACCATGTGGGTGAAATGTAATCATGACCAGAGGAACTTCCTGAACATTATTTTTATGATGTTGTTGTCACATAGCAAGCAATGATAATGGGCACTCCAAGATTAGATAAATAAGTAAATAAATAGAAATGTCTTCTAGGGACTTTTTTTTTTTTTTTTTCTTGATAAGGAAGAAGAGCCTAACCAAACCAGCAAGCGCAAATAGGGAAATCTGTCAGAAGGAAGCAGAGGTGTTTCGTAGAACCTGAAGGCAGAGAGTACAGCCTGGCCCCACAACAGGCTGGAACCACAGAAAAGGCAGGGACAGGTTTCCAGTGTACTCCGCTTGGTGTTTTCCTGCATGAAATGGCCACACAGCTGGGCTCTGCATTACTGCCAAGCTGCACCATGTTTTCATTCCAGATTACCAAGAGAGAACCTGATTGGCCCAAATCAGAGAATATCCTTATCCCTAGTTCAAACAGTGGTGGTCAAGTGGCTTGATTAAAGATGTTAACTGGCATTGAGGCTAAGCTCCCCTCAGAGCATGCTCTAGAAGGTTTAAGACATGTACGTCAAAATTTCTTTTAATTTGTCTATTTTGAATATCTTTCAGATAAAACATACACGTACTCCGATGACCACTTTCCCAGGTATGTAGAATATGAGTCATAGACTATGATTCCCAAGGAATAAGGAGAAGTAACTAATGTTATATTGCTTATAGGTTTGGCTCAGGAATGTTTCACTTGGGTTAAAATAAAATGAAAAGTGAGTTTTAATTACTTTTATTTCCACCTGAAGAATAATAGTTATAATATTATTATCTGCCCTAGTTACTTACTCATCCTGAGTCAGTGAGAGAGTTGGATGAAGGACAAAATGAAACTCTAACCTGTTATCTACAGAATCCTCATTAATTTTGGAAGAAGATATCCTAGATTAGGATTCAGTTCAGGTTGTAAAAATGTAGTCTAATTAAATATAGAATTGTGTGGCTCTTAAGAATTCAAGGTAGTAAGAAATCTGGCAATATTGATACAATTTAAGATATGTATGCACACCTACATAAACAAGGATGATTTGTGCTGTGCCATTTTTAAGGGTATTGCCAATAAATAACTCTAAAATAATATGCAGTTATAGACATAACATAACTTAATTGCTTATACTTATTAAGAATGTTGCAGACAAATTTGTGTAGTATAAAACTTTTTTTAAAGAAGGTTTATAATATAAAACATAGTAAAGAAGTTTCATTTTCTTGGACAATATATTCTGACCCAAATGTATCATTAGATTGGAAATTCCTCTTTTAGGATTAAAAAAATCTAAATATAGAAAATTTCCTAGAGGATTCTTCAAGATCTTTTTGAAATGGTAAACTGAAAGGCTGAAAAGGTCTTTCAAAAACACAAAGCTTTCTCACTGTACAGGGTAAGACTGCAAGCTTTTTATTGGCCTCTAAACTGTCCTTTTTTAAAAAACAATTCTTCTCCGTGTGGAAATGTCTCTGGAAGATTCAGATCTGGGCTACAGGCAGACCCACACAAAAAAGACAATCTATATTTTATGACTGTTTTTAACATTGGATTCTATAACATGAGATAATTTAAGTCATTAGTTCATTTCAAGAGTGATTTGCTGATTTGGTTACAACAAAAAATATGACAAAAAGAATCCTACATAACCATGTAGAAGTTAATCTGACGATTGATTTGATTCTTGTCATTTGAAAGGCAGTTAAGATGCAGTGTGATAGAAAGTCTTGTGATACTATCGTTCTACCAAAGACTGTGTTGGTGGTTTTTGGATTAGGATGGGAAGAATCAGAAAGAAAAATTGGTAAAACACTCATCTCAAAGCAAGCAGGCTCTTAGCTGCAGGGAAAATTCAGAAAGGAGGCTTGTTCCTTTATAACATTTGTTCCTTCAATAAATATTCATTCAACAAATAAGCATTTGTTTAGACAACAGAGATACAAAGATGAAAAGATGCGATCCTTCCCTCAAGGATTTAATAATCTGTTATCTACTGTAATAAATCTCCATTTAGGCAAAATTTGAATATACGATGCAGATTGTATCTATTAAAAAGAGGCTGGCATATTAATTCACAAGCTTATGTATGTACTTCACAGATTGTCTATTTCTCTGATTATGTAGTTTGGGATCCAAAGTCACCTTTATAGGAGAGCATGGAGGCTTCAGAAAAAAACGAATGAACTATCTCCAGCCATTAAGAAATAAACATTAAAACAGCAGGTGGAAATAAGGGCTATCTTTCTTAGGTAGGGCTAGAATTGTGGATGCTTCCTCAGTCCTTAGATGGTTCAAAGCTGGGTAGAAGGGAGGCAAGCTTCCCTCACACTGGGTTCCCTGCTGCACTGCCCCCCTGATCCTACTCAGCATTGGTTTAGGTGGGAAGCTATGCTGGAGGGGAAAGAAATTTGCTTCTCTGGTCTTATCTTCCTGCTTCCCCAAATCCCTGCCTTCCTACATTAGTAAGTCAGGAACATGATCACTTTAAGGACAGCAAAGCGTCTATATCTAATAGAAAGTTAAATATACACTTCCTGGTATTTACCCCTGGGCCACTTTATTTGTCCTTTAAACGTAATTCTACACAATTCTTGTCTTTTGATCTGTGTTAAGAGGATAATGCAGTGAGAATATCATCGGTTTGAGGTACAAACAGTTCTGGATGTTAATCACTCTTGCAATTACCAGGTTTGTAATCTTGGGAAAATGAGCATTGCTGAAGTGGAATTTTATCATCTGAAAAGTATGGATTATAATATAATACTGTACTTACAAGGGTAGCTGACTGATTTTTAAAAAAAAAAAAGGCTGAATGCTTTATTAGGTGAAAATTAAGGTCTAAGAAAATTCCCACCCGTTTGAATTATATTTACCCCTTAATTTAGGAAAGCAGTTCAGATTTACACTAAGCTTATTATAGCTCCTCAGTGTTCAGAGTCTCTCTCAAGGACTTAGGACAAATCCCCACCTGTTCCCAGGGTTGATTATCCTGATGACAATAGAACTCCTGGGTAGCCTTCCCTGGTGCCTCAGACTTCCAGGTAGATATGCAGATGAGACCCTCACTGTGACCGCTGCCACACTTGGAACCAAAGTATCTCCATGTTTTCAAGCCTTCTGTTTATTTGTTTTAATGTACAAGTAACCATAATCCAAGCTCCAACCCTGTGCGAATGCAAGAAGTCCAGTCCCTAACCTAAGTATTTTGGGGAATCCTCCAGAATATGCTTATAGGTTCCAAAAACCTTATTCTTGGTTGCCTCTTGGGCACCCCTAGCTCTGTGTCACTGCTCTAGTTTTCTTTCCCCGTCTTGTTTAGAATTCTTCATGCTGGCAGATCTTTCCAGTCTCCTTTCCCCAAAACTTTGACAAAGACTCTTCTTTTCAAGGGCTCCAAAGCACTGGCAATATAAGCTCCTGTGTTTGACTGACTTTACAAAAAAGTAGACATCATTAGAAGGACATATGAACACTGATCAAGAGAATAAAAATTTAATGTTAGATATCATTGCCTGAGAGTCCATTAACTTCCCCCCTCATAGGAAATACTACTGGTTCTTAGCTAATCCTAGCCATACTAACCCTAGTTATACAAAAATTGCTGGGGTTTACACTTTTCTCCTGGACCAAGGGTCTATCTTTGATATCCAATCACCCCAAATTCAAGAAACCTACACCCATGGCACAGTCCCTGCCAGAGAAAGTAAAAATTTAATGAACATATACTCAGGAACACATTGTTGCAACAACTTTGCCTTTTCTCTCCTCCTTCATTATTGCTTTTCCTTTCCTTTTTGTCTCATTCCCAGCAGTATATAAACAGACAGTACTGTCTGACATCTTTTAAAAAAAAAAGAAAAGAAAAGTTCCCTTGATATTAGATTGCCTATAGTTACCTCTCCATTGCTCTGCACCCTTCATAGCAAAACTTGGAAGTGCCATTTACATTCTGTCCATATTTGCTGACTTCTCTTCCTCTTCTCTTCTTTCTTGAACCTACTCTATTCGATCTTCTGTCTTCAATAATCCACTGACTCAGCTTTTGTCAAGATCACCAATGAAATCTACATGGCAAATCTTAGTCTTATTATACGTGGTCCATCTGTAGCATTTGACACATTGACACTCTACTTCTTGAGACACTTGCTTCTCCAGACTCTGGGCCACCCCCTTTTTGGTTTTCCTCCTCAATTAGTAGCAGCTTCTTCTCCTTTGCTGGTTCCTGAACCTTCGACAAGAGAGTGCCCAGGGCTCAGTCTAGTGAGCCTCTTCTCTATCTACACTCATTCCGTTAGTAATTTCATCCTCTCTCATGGCTTTCAGTAACGTTTAAACGCTGGTGAAGCCGAAACATACATCTGCCTATTCAAAGAAATGTCTACTAAGCAAATCAGGTTAACACTTAGCAAAAACAATTTCTGATAGACCCTAAGCTTACTCTTTTTTATCAATCTTACAAATTCCCAACCCCTTAAAATAGTTTTATTTAGTTTTACAGAAATCTTTCATTTTTATTTGGATATTGGAACCCTACATTTATGTCATAGAATTTGGGAGCTGAAAAGAACAATAGGGATTAAATAATTTAATATCCTTGTTCATAAATAAGGAAACTGAAATTCAGAGAATTTATGTCCAAAATCACCCATGCAGAAGTAATGATTTTTTAAAAATTGAATTTACTTATTTAATCTACTTAGATAATAAAGTATTTGAGGCATTTTCTTTAAAGCACTTCACAATAAAATAATAATAAAATATAAATACAAACTTTAAAAATAGAGACTAGAGAAAATTTATATGAAAGTAGAAAATTTGAACCCTAGTAAAAGATGCAATTAATATTATTTTAAATCTTGGAATGTCAGTAAATGTGCTGATTAGTTAGAAGATCATTTCAGACATGTTGAGAACAGTGGAGAATCTGATCTGGACCAAAACTCAGAGGTGCGCTAGTCTCTGGGCATATTTATTAATATATTTTAAATAGTAATCAATCTTCAACATAAAACACTGCCAAACATTTGTGCTTGAAGTTTATTAGATATTTGCAATAGGCTGGAGCTATTTGGCATTGCCAAGTAAAGACATACATTTTAATTTGTTGGTTAGGCAACTGCTTCTTTATAATAGTTTATTTGCAATGATTAATCATTTGAGACCTGCCTGTAGACACAAGGCACTGCATTATATATCACGTCTTATTTTCATTCATAGAGAATGAAATGATGTTCAGTTTTTGGACATGATTTATCATTTGCAGGTTGTATCTGCTATCTGTGTGGGCTAGGAAAAATGGATGGATTGTCTTATTAAAAATTCTTCACCTTTTGCTATTATATTCCCTGTATAGCCAGAGAAAAACCATGAGCAGGGACTATTCCATATCCCAATATTAAGCTGTAATGAATTACCAATGGAAAGAAAGGTTATGGATGAGTTTCTTTGTTATCAGATAAGCGAAATACATGTCAGGATCTGGATCTTCAAATCATTTCATACAGGTATCATTTGATCTGTTCTTTTTTTAACGATACCTACGTACTATTTACATATACTGTCTTCTTTCAGAAGCATGGGAGTAATATAGGTGTTCTGCCTTGAGATAAGAGTTCTTTTTCCTTTGATGCTATTCCCTCCAGCTCTCAGTGATATGTAATCTCAAAGTTAAAACATTTGCTGCTGTTTTATGAAATGCCACTCTCACTGCCTGAAATGTTCTTCTGTCCCCAACCTGCTATTGTGAAAGCTGGTCACCAGGGCCATTGTCACTGTTTGGTGACAATGGTAGGTTGCCTACTGTAATCCTAATTCAGATGAGGCTATACGGAAAGTTAATCAAACATCAAGAGCAAATAGTATTCAGAGCTTTAGCACCAGACTTGCATTACAATCCTAGCACTGACAGTTACTATGTGTCTTTTGACAGTTTACCTCTCTAGCTTGCAAATTCCTTATGTGCACAATGGGGCTTTTAAAAAATGCATCTCCTAGGGTTGTCCTGAGGGTTGAATGAGCATTGGCATAAAGAAAAGCTTTCACAATTGTTATTTATTGCTGATATTACACATAAGGTTAGGGAAAATACTTTAATCTATCTGAATCTCAGACTTACCTGTAAAGTGGAAAATAATAATATTTCTGCAGAATTTCCCTTGGTTTTTGATATAATGCATGTAAAACAGCACAGTATTTGGATGTAATAGGTGATCAATCATTTTATTGCATCTGCCAAGCTGAGTCTACGATATTTCTCTGGCCTCTTATTTTTTAATCATCACTGTCAGTTAATATTTATTTAGTAAACAGAGTGTTAGGGGTATGTTCAGAGTGATATTCTTGGCAAATAAACAGGAAGTACAATGTATAGATTAGAGCACAGATAATCTAGGTTCTAATCCCAGCTCTGCCATTTACTAGTCTTGTGACCTTCAGCAAATTATATAACCAATCTGTGCCTCAGATTCCTTATCCCTAAAGTGGGAATGCTGTAGTGCCTATCTGGTCGAATTGTTGTGAGAATTAAATGAATGAACATATATAATGCACTTCAAGTAGTATCTGTCACACAACAAGTGCTAAATAAGTATTTGCTATTTTTGTTCCCCCAAAGAGGGTCCAAAACATATCTTTTCAAATTCATACACACATACACACTTGCATTTACTGACTTACTTGCCTATCTACCTTGGCTGGTCAAGGCTGAATAAGAGCATGCAATAATTTACCCAATATTGAATTTAGCTGAGAGATTAGTTTTGAACTATGTGTAAAGTAGATTCTAACAAGGCAAATTATTTCCTTATTATAGGGAAAATGAGTATGACCTTGAAGACACACCAATTTATGGTAACTTAGATAATGTGGTCCCAGGTAAGTTTTATTTTTCCAGAAATTAAATTTATTTATAAATCAATTACCTCACTTAATTCCACAAAGAATTTGACGTAGCTTATTTTTTGTCACAGTCACGTTTAAATGTTCCAATGGTAACCATAAATTCAGTATTTTTAGCATATCATTTAGCGTATATTTCCAAAGCTGCATTTCATAAATCATATTGCAACATTCAGTGTAAATCAACATCCTGTTTTTCTATATTCTCTTTATTTTACTCTAGTAGTAATGAGAATACCGGAAGACTCTATTACCATGAATTTTGACACACACAGAATTCTATGAAATAAAGTTATTTCTAGAACAGTAAATGACCCAGGAAAACAGTGCTTTACGCTCTGTGTATAAAAGCAAATCTACAGTGAATAATTTGGAACAAAGAACACATTCTCTGGTTTCTCTTGTTTTAACTGGTTCTTTTAAAGTAGAGAACCTAGGTTTACACTGATGACAAGCAGGGAAAGAGAAGCGCCAAACCATCACTGAGTGGGTTATACATTTTTTTGTTCTTTTGTAACAAGTACTCTTCAGTTCCCAGCATCCCTTATTACTTGAAATATCCCAACCACCCCAAAAATAAAATGCCCCTAAATGCCTCAGAACAAACAGCTGTGATCTAATTCCAGAGCTCTGATGAGAGAAGCTGTTGAGAGTAACGCTAGCATTTAACGCTATCCTTGCCCTGTAAGAAGTTCACTTAATTCATGATAGGAGACTTGGGGGTTAATTCCTGTTGATCTCTGAGTCTCAAACACAGAGATTTCCAGTAATGGGCTAAATTTATCTGAATCTCTATATATCAAAACAGTATGGAATCTCCTAACGTTACACACATGAGAATTTTATAGGAGTCAAGAATTTATTTAATTTTTGTCTTTCCCCCCATTGTAAAGTGTCCTCTAAGCTCTGCACTCTGAGGAATCAGAAACTATTTTTCAGGAATAGACTATAAAAAATAATTTTCCTTCCCATTTCCCCTTGCAGAATTTTGGTGCCCACCTGTAATACCTGAGGACTTAAGTTCTTATGTATTCTGGTGGCTCAAAGCCCACCTATCTGCAGTCTCCATGTCTAATGAGCACAGGTGTCACCCCTACAGGTTCTGATTTAGTAGTTCCATGATAAAGCTCAGGAACCTGCTATTTAACAAGCCTTCCAGGTGATTCTAATGCATGATTTCCATGACCCATGCTTTGAGAAACATCACCCTATGGGCCAGTTCTCTGCATTGCTTTTCAGAAAGGGTTGAATGATTTTGAAGTACCTTGTATTATAGTAAACATATATTTTTATCTATGGGGTCAAACTGGTGCAATCCACATCTCTGCCAGGTTACTTACCGTCCTACAAGTCATTAACTCTCCTTCTTCTCCCTTTTAAATAGGAGTATCTGGGGAAAGAAAGGTACGGATGATTCAGTAAGCATCCCCACAGCATGAAATAAGTGCAGGTCTGCTGGCTGGTGGACATGGTACAAAAACCCCCAAGTACTTAGTACCAGCATTATACACCCCAGACCCTCAAAACATCCTGGCTGAACTGTCCTGTCACTGATTTATGGGACGACAAACATAATCTAAACCCTCTTTTTCAAAAATGGTATGTAAGGTTAAGAAGGCCTCTTAGTAAAATGTCTTATTTATGGAAAAAATTACCAAATCGTAATCATCAATATACGTGCTCTGTGCTTTATGCCGTCTGCACCATTTGCCATCACGTTTAAAGAGAACACAGACAATCCTTTAACTTGTGGGATCTCAATAACATCTAAATGGCAGTTTAAGTTGAGATTGTCATGTCCTACAATGGTATAAAAAGATTAATATGATCTAGTCCTTATCCCAAGTGACCTTCTTTTGTCTAATTGTTAATGCTGCAGGGCAACAGACTTCTCCACAGTCTGATCTGCAGAGCAGTTTGTGCTTCCTTACCTCTTTGTTTCTTCACAAAAAAGCCTAGTCAAATGATCCCTGAAGGTTTCACATTTATAGCTAAATGTTGTTTGGGTCATGTATTTTTATTCATGCCAGCATTTTTTATTTTTCCATTGTAAATCTCTCTTCCACTCCCAAGAACCAGTGGATGAAAACTACTATGAACAAATGAAAGCCCGGCCAGAGAGATCCGTGAACAAACTGCAAGAAGACGCCCCACCTTCACAGGTAAGTCTTGTTTTCCGTATCAAGGGCCAAGTTCATCCTAGGTCATAGCACAGCTGCATGTTTCAAGAGCATAAAAGCAGCACATTCTGATAAACATCAGAAGCAGCCTGTTAGAAATTTTGCATTCTGAATCGGTGTCAAATCTGGAGCCTGAGCTCTAATGAAAAGCTCAAAGGCAAATAAATAGTACTCAGAGCTACACTTAAAGAGTCAAAATTACATACAACTACAAAGGCAGTAGATTTCAAGGGAAAAGTGGATTCTCCTCCTAAAGTATTAGTTAAGCTTTTCCTTTCAGAGCGAAAAAAAATTACATGTATCATAGAAATAAATATAAAAGGTGACACAGGCAGAATTCTCAGAAGACCTAGATGTCGGGAATTTATGGCAGATGGGGAGAAAGAGACCTTTGGTGAAAAGATAAATTAACCAACTATAAAAGACCATACTTCTGTTTTATTTTTTAAAAAATGAGTGTAAATTTAATACAAGTCCTATGGCTATGGTCTTATGACAGGAGATTTACACGTGGCTTGCGTGGAGATAGGCAGGACTAAAGCCTAAGTAGAAACAGAAAAACCCAGGAAGAAATGGGTAGTTTATCTTTTTACTACCACAATCAGTTCAGCATCCTCAGACATAGCACTGCCATTCACGATGCTTAGCATATGTGAGGCTGAAATGTTATAAATTTCAGTTTTGATGGTTCTTTCTTCTCCCCGATCTCGTCCCTTTTATTATGTGCTCTTGTGCTATTCCCTAGAAACAGTCATAGGGCCAGCATTTCCTGTGCAGTTTTTACATGTCAGGCTTGTATTATGTGCTTTACAGGCATATCTTTTTAGATTCCTGTAAGGGAGACAGCACGGTTATTCCCATTTGACAGAGGCTTGCAAAAGATGAAAAACTTAACCTAGAGACTCAGAAACTAAGTGGGGGGACAGAATCCAACCTTAGTCCTGCCTAATAGAAAACACTCTCCTCCCAAAGATGGGTCAGAACGTGGAAACTTCCCATTAAGATAGAATTTCTCTTTTTCTTTGTATGAATCTCCTAAAAAATCAAATTCTTGAAATTTTTATTAAGAAACCAAGATGTGGTGAGGTTTAAGCAAAATGTAAGGTCGTCCTCTCATGGGCAAATCTGTCATGTGATGTTCAATTAATTGTAAATGTATTTTTTAGATAAAATATATGAAAAACTGCATGTTATAATATGATCTGCAAAATTCATGGTAATATTCATGATAATAAAGAGAAAACCTGTCAAGAAGGTTAAAATGTAACTACACCACCTGAAATGCAGAGATTCACAGGACCTTAGTCATGAAAGAACTGAGAATTCTGAGTAGAAGTTGCTGTTTAAAACATGTAAATTAAACAGGCCAGCTTTATTTGTGCTGCGTCTGGTTTTTACTCAACTGGAAATTGTGCAAAGCCTTAAAATATCTTTCAAAGTCTGCTACTTTATAAATTATATATTTAAAGACACTTCTAAGGAGATTAGTCTTCATTCTATTTCATCCTTCTGACAAATTTAATTTCAAAAATTATTTCTTTTCTTTCTTTTTTTTTTTTTTTTGCGGTATGCGGGCCTCTCACTGTTGTGGCCTCTCCCGTTGTGGAGCACAGGCTCCAGACACGCAGGCTCAGAGGCCACGGCTCACGGGCCCAGCCGCTCTGCGGCATGTGGGATCTTCCCACCGGGGCACGAACCTTTGTCCCCTGCATCGGCAGGCGGACTCCCAACCACTGCGCCACCAGGGAAGCCCAATTTCAAAAATTAGAAGTAATCTCTTTGGTTTTTCAAATTAATTTTTATTGGAGTATAGTTGATTTACAATGTTGTGTTAGTTTCAGGTGTTCAGCAAAGTAAATCAGTTATACATATACATATATCCACTCTTTTTCAGATTCTATTCCCAGATAGGTCATTACAGAGTATTGCGTAGAGTTCCCTGTGCTATACAGTAGGTTCTTATTAGTTATCTATTTTACATATAGTAGTGTGTATATGTCAATCCCAATCTCCCAGTTTATCCCACCCAGAAGTCATCTCTTCATATTTGATCAATTCCATTTTATTAGAATGACCATTATCATCAAAAACACTACCCAGGGCTTCCCTGGTGGCGCAGTGGTTGAGAGTCCGCCTGCCGATGCAGGCGACACAGGTTTGTGTCCCGGTCCGGGAAGATCCCACATGCCGCGGAGTGGCTGGGCCCGTGAGCCATGGCCACTGAGCCTGCGCGTCCAGAGCCTGTGCTCCACAACGGGAGAGGCCACAACAGTGAGAGGCCCGCATCCCGCAAAAAAAAAAAAAACAAAAACAAACGAAAAAAACACTGCCCAGTTAGCTACTATGATACATAGTTACTTTGGTCAATTACAAAAGCATAACGAATCTATAATATAATGCAATAAAGCCTGATGGATAGTGTTTGTTGGAAAAGGAAATAAGCTTCTTGTCCTTTGAAAATGATGTGTACAGTTCAGAAGTTGTAATTTCAGTACCTAAGTCTACTATTAACTAGGAAGAGATGATCAGGAAATCTAACGATAAAATGAGTTCATGAGAGTTCCCATGTCTTAAAAAAATGTGAAGGATGCAAGTGTGAACTTGTTTCTCTTCTCTTATCCTCCTGTTAAAACCTCTCACCTGTCCCTCCTTTCCCTCCTATGTCAGAAGCAACCTCTCCTCTTTCCAAAGCCAACACTCCTACTTGTACTCTTGAGTATTTCTCCTATTTCCTTCAAGATCTTGCACATTCAATTATTTAATTTGTCTCCATTTCTTTCTTTAAATGAATTACTATTGACCTACCAATATACACAAATCCCTGCAATATTTAAAAACAAATAAAACAACAAAGGTCTACTTCAACCTGTTTTTCTCTCTAATTCCTAAACTGGTTTTTACTTTCTTCCATGGTTTCCATTTCTCTTCATAGATACAAATTCTTTTTTCCCTGTCTATATTTTCCAGCATCTATTCAAGTAAAACAACACTCTGGAAGTCACAAATGACTATTACACGTACACATTGTGGTCCTTTCTCAGGACTCTTGTCCTTTGAACTCTGCAGGACTTGATAAAGCAGACCAGTTGTTGACCAGACATACATTACTTGCTTTCAGTTACAAGAGCAAAAACCCAATTCAAACCACTTTAGCATAAAAGGGAAATCACTGGCTCATGTAACTGGGAGATGAAAGGGTGTCTTTTGTTTTTGAAATGATTGAATATGAGAGCTCTCTCCATTTCTTCACCCTGCTTCTCTGTTACTGACTTCATTCTCTTCTATTACCAACAGACTCTTCCACTGAGGCTGGGAAAGCCACTGGAGACTCAGATTTTCTTCCTCCCAAATCCAGAAAAAGATACCTTTTCTATTTCTGCATCTGTACCTCAATCCCAAAGATGCCATGTAATTGGCTCTACTGAAGTCACATGTCCACCCTTGGGCCAACTTCTGTTGGCAGGAGGATGGGTAGTGTAATTGGTTCCAGCCTGGGTTGCATGCTTAATCCTGTGCTAAGCTTGGAGTACAGTATTGTGATTGATAGGCTCTCCAGGACCAGATAGGAGAGGGAAATTTCCTAAAGGAAAATGGAGAATTTATCAAAGAAAGAGAATAGAACAAAGTGCTGGACAGTCAAAAAAGATATCCACCCCTTTGTATTACCGAGTGCCTTTTGGTTATTTTTCTAACTTCACTGACCTCTTCTCTATCTATCTAGTCAAAGGCAAAGCAGGTCTGAAAAGCATGAGGTGTATTCAGGAAGCAGTGAAATGTCCAGTTTGCTTGAAATAGAGAGTTTACGTAGGCGAGTACTGGGAATCAAAATAGAAAGTGTGGAAGTATAAGCATAGAAAACCTTGAATGCCATGCTATAAAATTCAGATTCTAGGCTCAAATTTTTGAGACAGAATGGTAAAATATTGAAGTTATGCCTTAGGAAGATAACTTGAAGACAGTATATGGGCTAACTGGCAGAGTGTAGAGACTCAAGCAAAGATGCAAGTCACCTATCTTCTATACAATTTTCCAGAAATGATTATTTTACAAATAAAAAGTCAGACAAACATACAAGAGAGGTTGTAAATAGAGCCATCCCCCTGCCTGGTAGAGAAGATTTAAGACATTTAACTTTTAGCATGAAAACAAGTGCCTACAGGGAGAAGCTTATCCATGCATAGGGGTTTTGTTAATCCAAATGTTGATTCTTTACCCTAGACTCCACAAATTGATATACCTTTGGTTTACTCTGAATGGTAAATCCTTAATACAGAATATTTTGGTTTATTCAATAGCTGTCCTAAAGTTTTAGCCTACAACTCTGATAATTTAGCCTACAGCTCTGATAACCTTGAAAAACCAGGTTTGAATCGCGCAGGGCTGCTTAAACGCTGATTGTTTTCACCAGATGCATACTACAGTGCTACACGGTGAGGGGTTAGTTGAATTTGTGGATGCGGAACTACGGAAATGGAGGGGCTGACTGTAAAATTATATGTGAATTTTTACCTGCTCAAGGGGTTGGCATCCCTAACCCCCATGTTGTTCAAGGGTCAACTGTATATTATCTCTATTTGCTAATAATGTTGTAAGACAGGTACTCTCATTTTATAGCAAGAGGCTCAAAATAGTTAAAACAAACAAACAAACAAATAATAACTGCCCAAGGTCCCATGACCAGTATATTACAGAGCTGGAATTCAATCCTAAACTTTCAAACACCAAATTCAAGGTCTTGTCTTCAGGCCTATTGCTTTCCCCAAGCTTCTCTAGTCTCCTGCCCTTCTTATTCTAGTACTGACGCAGCTCTAGGCCAGAGAGGACTACCAGGCTTTCCTGGATGCAAATGAGTATCTCCAAGACCAACCTAAAGGAGCTCAAACAGGATCTGGGGACAGGTAGGCAAGAAGGAAGTAAAAAAAAGGAAAAAAAGGAAAAAATGGGAAAATGGGAAATGCAAATCTTGCCAAATGCCAGTCATATAAATGGACAGTTAACCTTATACTTTTTTTTTTATAATGTAGCAAACACATATAGTTCTTTATTTTTTACCCGATTTTAATATTTATTTATTGCTGTGTTGGGTCTTTGTTGCTGTACGTGGGCTTTCTCCAGTTATGGCGAGTGTGGGCTACTCTTTGTTGCAGTGCACGGGCTTCTCATTGCGGTGGCTTCTCTTATTGCGGAGCACAGGCTCTAGGCATGCGGGCTTCAGTAGTTGTGGCACATGGGCTCAGTAGCTGTGGCATGCGGACTCTAGAGCACAGGCTCAGTAGTTGTGGCACACGGGCTTAGTTACTCTGCGGCATGTGGGATCTTTCTGGACCAGGGATCGAACCCGTGTCCCCTGCATTGGCAGGAGGATTCTTAACCACTGTGTCACCAGGGAAGTCCCTAACATTATATGTCTGAGTCTCAAAAAATGTAGAAAAATTTGGGAGTTTTGCGGGTACCATCAAATGACCAAGTATTAAACATATGTAAAGCAGATTTTTGATTGGTTAAATTCCTTCCTGTCATGCTTTGTTCCCAGTTTAACAAATCAGTATTGTTACTTGATAGGCGAAACATAGGGCAGGCACTCCCTGAGGTGAAGGCAGGGGGAGAGGCAGGTAAAAATCCATCTAAAAGGTTCATGTATATTTTGAGTATAAAAAGAAATAAAACTATACACACAAAAAGTTCACTTAAGCATTTTCCACCCCAAAGTCTTATCATCCTAATTGACAAATTTGGCAAATAAGGTAGCTGAAGCCCAGAAAACAAGCTGTGTGTTTTTTACAGGCCTTAGAAATACCCAGAGGTTATCAAAGTTAAAGAATGGCTAACAATGAAGAATTAATATACCTTTCTTTCTAGGAAACTGAAGTAAAGATGTTCTATGCCTCACTAGATCACAGCTGTGAGGGGAAGCGCAGAAAGCACAAGAAACAGAAAACTTATTTGTCAGACAAGGATGAAGATGGGCAGGTACATGCAATGGATATCAACCTTTCTAAGGCCACTTTGGTGGACAGTTTCCCACCAGAAAGCCAGGCAATAGAGGAAAACATTCATGATGATCCCATCAGGCTGTTTGGATTGATCCGTGCACAGAAAGAAACTGTAAACTAGCTGGACTATGGATCTAGCTCAGTGACCCAGCTCTTCCTGGAAGTGCTTGTTAAAGAAATGAAGACCCCATATGACACAACATGATTTGTCAGGGTGATGAGCTGATTGTCTGTTGGTGCGATGGTGGCTTACCTTTTATACAGAGCTTATGTTATACACAGCAAATGGAATACCATACAAATTAGTTATTTAAATTAGTTATTTGAATTCACTTAAAAAATACTGATGTCAAATGTAAACAAAATCAAGTTTGCAAATTGATCCTGATAACAAAATCATAACTTCAAAACAATTATTAATACTCAGCGAAATAAACCAAAAAAAAAAGGTTTTAAGCATAAATATGTTCTGGATCATGTTGAAAGAGAAACAAAAGTCAATGTTTTTTTTTTAAACAGTTCTCGTTTCTCATCAATGTGAAACATCCCATAATTGGAAGAAATTTCTGACTGAAAGGCATGGGAGACATTAAAACATTTCTAAGAGAAGAGGGATAATCTTCTTAAGAAATACTTTTCACAAATGGAAATATCTTTATTATTTCTAAAAATTATTATAAAATTAATGCATATTCCTTGTAACAATAAACAGTATCAAAAAGAATTTAGATATTCTACTAGCCAGAGATAATTACTGTGATCAACTTTCTATATATTCTAGATGTTTTTCTGGGCATGACCATATATATACCCACATATATGACCATTAGTTGTTTTTTTAACCAAAAAAGAAAAAAGGGGAATGATTATTTTATACATATTATTTAAACTTTTTTCACTTAACAATAATATATTATAGATTTATTTCCACTGTCATTTTAAACTGTAACTAACTACAGTTATAATTTTAATGCCTGCATAGCATTTCATTGATTATACCAAAACTCATTTAAATAATTCTGAAGTACATTTAGCTCATTTCCAATCTCTGGTTTTTTGCTTTTACAAATAACATTGTAATGAGAATGCATCTCAGCACATAGTTGGTACTTGTCTGACTTCTCCTTGAGGCTAAATGTCTAGGGAAAGAATTGCTGCTTTAAAAGGTGTGCATTCTGTAAGTCTCTACAGAATATGTTTCTGAAAGACCAAGAGTTCGGTCAAAGTGTGTGTCCTATTTAAACTCATAAGTGCTCTTAAATTGCCCTCCAAAAAAAAATAAAAAAAAAAAAACTTTCTATCTCTCTCCATTTGGAGTAGGCGTTTAATTCGGTCTCAAATCATCACTGACCAAGAAAATTGTACATGACGGCTATCAGTCCTGCCCTCTGACCAGAGCTTAGTCACGCTTTCTTCAATTGTTTGTGGAACTCCTGAGGCAGTTTATGTACTAAGTTATACAATGATGAGGGAAACTGAGACTCTGCACCTGTTGAACTACAGGCTAGGAGAAAAGATGAGTAACAGGTTAACAAAGAAAAGTGTAGCTACTAGTAAGAAAAATACTATTAAGAAAACAGAAGAAAGAGATAATGGAGAGAGGGCATCTCTGAAGAAGAAATTTTAATTCTGAGAACTGAACAATGAGAAGAAGCCACCCAAGTAAAGAGAGGAAGGAAGAGCACATTTTGTGGAAGAATTCTATCTATATTTGGAAGTGCCTACTTCTGTCAATAATTATTTTCCATTATGAATCTGTAGAAAATTAAATGCTGATGATGAAGTAAAATATTTTAAGTTGTCCACAATGCCATAGGAAAGACAAAAATACTAATATTTAAGCACAGAAGGAATCAGGTTTCTGATTCCAGAGAAGAGCCAAGAAAAACCCACAACAAATAAAGTTAATAATTACATACTGACTTTAAGTTTTTATGTTTAATTTAAAATAAAATCTTTGCTATCATATATGTTTATGTTGCATTTCTATATATACCATGGTTCAGTAAAAATAAAGTTAGATTGTATTTTTGGCAGTTGTTTTTTCCTGTAATTATTCCACATCATTCACTTACATTATTTACTTGGCACCTGGAAATATTTGAATTTTTTGCCTCTGGTTTATATCATTTGAATTCCAAAATATTTTAAAGTTTTTTGTACCAGATATATCTGATGCCCATTAGTCAGGAAGGTTTTTAGCTACAGATTTAAATTCTTTAATAGATATAAGGCTTTTCAAGTTACCTATTTCTTGTTGAGTGAACTTTGTAAATTTGTGTCTTTTGAGGAATTTGTCCCTCTCATCTAAGTTGTTAAATTTATTGGCATAAAGTTGTTCAAAATATTCTCATATTATTCTTTTAATATCTGTAGAATTGGTAGTGATTTCACTTCTCTTTGATACTGATAATTTTCTTCTTTTTTCCCCATCTAGAGATTTATCAATTTTATCGATTTCCTGAAGAACAAGTTATTGTTCACATAATTTTTCTATTGTTTTTACATTTTCTGTTTCATTGATTTACCCTCTGATCTATATTATATGCTTTCTTCTGCCTATTTTGTGTTTCATTTGTTCTTTTTTTAGCATTTTAAGGTGGAAACTGAGGTCATTAATATAAAACTTTTCTTGTCTAAAATAGGGATTTAGTCTCATAAATTTCCCTTTTTAAAAATATTGTTTTGCTTTAGCTGCATCCCACAAATTTTGATATGTGCTTTCATATTCATTCATTTCAAGCACTTTCAATTTCCCTTTTGATTTCTTCTTTGACCCATGGGTTATTTATGAATGTATAGTTTCCAAATATTTGAGGATTTTCCAGATCTCTTTCTGTTGTTGACTTCTAATTTAATTCTATTGTGGTCACAGAACATATGACTTGAATCTTTTTATATTTATTGAGCCTTTCTTTATTGTCAGAATATAGTCTATCTTGATGGATGATGGTGTACACTTGAAAAAAAAAGATGTATATTCTATTGTTGTTGGTAGAGTGTTCCACAAATGTCAATTAGGCCAATTTGGTTGATAGAGCTTTTCAAGTCTTCTATATCCTCACTGATTTTGCCTACTTGTTCTATCAATTATTGAGAGGGGACTGTTGAAATCTCTGACTATAACTGTACATTTGCCTATCTCTCCATACTATTCTGTCAGTTGTTGCTTCATGTTTTTTGAAGCTCTATTATTAGGGGCACACATGTTCAAATGCACTATTTTTTTGATGAATTTAATCTTTATCACTATGAAATGACCCTCTTTATCCTTGGTAGTATTGTTTTCTCTGAAATCTACTTTGTCTAATATTAATATTGTTATTCTAGCTTTTGATTAATGTTAGCATGAAATATCTTTTTATATCCTTTTTCAACCTAGTTACATTTTTATATTTAAAATGCATTTTTTGTAGGCAACATATAGTTTGTTTTACTTTTTTAAAAAATCCAGTCTGAAAATCTCTCATTTAATTGGGGTGTTTAACCTATTTTCATTTAATGCAATTATTGATATGGTTGGGTTAAAAGCAACACTCTTGATATCTGTTTTTTATTTGTCCCATCTGTTCTGTATTTTTTCCTCTTTTTATGACTTCTTCTAGATTACATAAGTATTTTTTTATGATTCCATTTTATCTTCATTGTTGGATAATTAGTTACAAATCTATGTTGTGTTATTTTAGTAATGTCTTAAGAGTTATTAATAAACATCTCTAATTCATTACAGTCTACATTCAAATGATAGAATACCTCTTTAAATCTTAAAACAGTGAACTTTTACTTCCCTCCTCTGACCTTTGTGCTCCGGGTTTTATACATTTTATGCATTGTTATTAGTTTTTACTTTAAAAGGCCAATTATCTTTTTTTTTTTTTTTTTTTACGCGGTACGCGGGCCTCTCACTGTTGTGGCCTCTCCCGTTGCGAAGCACAGGCTCTGGACGCGCAGGCTCAGCGGCCATGGCTCACGGGCCCAGCTTCTCCGTGGCATGTGGGATCTTCCCGGACCCGGGCACGAACCCGTGTCCCCTGCATCGGCAGGCGGACTCTCAACCACTGCACCACCAGGGAAGCCCCAATTATCTTTTTAAAAGGCTTAAATAATAAAAAAAAAAAAGTCTTCATGTTTAGCCCTGTAGTTAACATTTCTAAAACCCCTCAATGCTTTGTATAGATCCAGACTTCCATCTAGTATCAGTATTCTTCAGCTTAAAGAACTTCCTTTAACATTTATTTTTCAAGCCTGCTGGTGATGAATTCCTTCAGCATTTATGTATCTGAGAAAGTCTTTATCTGCCTTCATTTTTGAAAGATATTTTCATTGGGTAAAAAATTTCAAGGTTGAGTTGACTATGTTTCTTTCAGCGATTTAAAGATACTGTTCTATGGATTTCTTAGTTGCATTGTTTCTGAAGAAAAATCTGGTGTCATACTTGTCTTTGTCCCTCTGTGTTCTTATTCTTCTCTGATTGATTGTTTTAAGATTTTTTTTATCACTGGTTTTAAACAATATGCAATATTTTTTTAAATTTATTTTTTATCCCATTCCCCATTTCCAGGTTCTTCAACTACTTGCAAATTATCCCACATTTTACTTATGTTTATTTCAGTCTTTTTTTTTTTTCTGTGTTTTATTTTGGATAATTTCTCTTGCTGTGTCTTCAAGGTCACTAATTCTAAAATGTCTGTCTGTCAATAATCCCTGAGAGATATTTTTAATCTCAGACAATTTAGTTTTTATCTCTATAAATTCAGTTTGGGTATTTTCTTCTTGCATCTTTCATGTCTCTATCAAACATGTTTAATCTTCTAACTTCTTGTACATACTGAACACAGTTATAACAACTGTTTTAATGTTTTTATCTAATTCTATCATCTGTCATTCAGAGTTTCAACTGATTGATTTTTCTCATTCTGGGTTGTATTTTCCTACTTTCAAAAATTCTTGGTAATTTTTCATTAGGCAGAAAATACTGTGAATTTTACTTTGTTTGCTGATAGATATTTTTGTAATCCTATGATATTCTTGAGTTTTGTTCTGGGAATGGTCAAGTTACTTGGACACAAATTGATTCTTTAGAGTCTTGCTTTTTAAACTTTGTTAAGCAGGACCAGAGTAGGGTCTTGCCTCAGTAATGGGCTGAATTTAACTTAGGTAAAAAGCTATTCTGACCCTCTGAATTATGAGGTTTTTCACCCCAGCTGTTGAAAACAAGTACTATTCCCAGCCTTTTGTGAGCCATAGGCACTGTTTTCTCTACTCTATTTTCTAGGTCTTTCCCCAAGCTTTGCTAGTTTTCTTACATGCATGCACTGGTCAGTATTCAGCTGAATCCTCAGTGCGGACTCTTTACACATCTCCAGAGTTCTTTCTATATGCAGCTTTTTCCTATTCAGTACTCTGCCTTCTTGGTTTCTCTTGACCTGCAGCTTCATCTCCTCAGTTCAGATCAGTGGTCAATACTTACACTCCCTCTACCTGCTCTAGGGCCTGAAAACTTTCTCCAGGCAATAAGATAGGGCAATAGTAGGGTTCACCTCATTTATTTCCCATCTTTCAGGGATCATTTTTCTTCATTGCCTGATGTTCAAAGTCTTGAGTATCATTGTCTCATATACGTTGTCTGGATTTTAGTTGTTTAAAGTGGGAGGGAATATATTCAAGTGAGAGGATAAATCCAAGATGTTATTCTACTTGATGAGAAGCAGAACCCCAAGCACCTCATTTCACTTTAGTGTAATTTTACAATATATTTTTAGTGTAATTTTGTGTAATTCTATAACCTAATCAGGACTCTTTGAAATGTTAATTAATAAGCTATGAATTACTGATCATCATGCAATCATTAAAAATATATATATACTTCACCTATGACAGCTCTCAGAGATTATGTCCCAGGAGGAGTATCATTATAAACTTTCACATTTCAACTGAAAAAGAAAATGTACAGAAGAAAATACTGAGAACATTTTTGACTAGAAAAACAGATGAATTCCAAAGTCTTAAGATTTTCACTGAAAATATCTTAAGGTCCCAAAAAGTTCAACTTAAATCTCAAGAATAGGAACAATAACTCATTTTCCTTTGGTATTAAAGGACTTATTTCTAGAAGAGTAAAGGCAGGATGATTAGTTTTGAAATATGCTTAAATCTCTCTGAGGTTTTGCCTTCACTTGATAAACAGAATTGATAATTTATATTAAGACACTAAACAAAATTTAGAGAAGATAACAAGAAAGAATACAAATTTGACAGATGCTCTAGTAATGATGCTTGCTGTTCCTTTAACCTCTTCTGAAGAAGCTGCCTTACCTACTCATAGCTTCTACCACCTACGACATCATGGCAACACAGTACATCCTCTAAACCAATCTATAGATTGGACAGTTATCAGTGGGGGCTGAGCCAAAAGGATGCTATTAAACAGAACTGGGGCCTTGGGAAACAAGGCACAATTGCAAGGGGACAGAAACTAAGAGTAAACACAAGGAGATAGTTGGTAGAGAATGGAATTCAAGATTCTATAAGTGGTCAGATTAATTAGAAAATCAGTATAACAACTATTATTTATTAAGAACTTACTAAGTGCAAGACACTGGTCTAAGTGCTTACCTGCATACATAATTTAACTATGTAACACCCTAAAAGATGGATGCTATTATAATCATAATCTTACAGATGAGAAAACCAAAACTGATAAAGATTAACTTGCCCAATACTGCACAAATAAGTTATAGATTCAGGATTTGAACAAGAAGTCCAGGTCCAGAGCTGGATCTGTTAAGAAGCTGATACCTTCAGTTGGTTAAAAGCACCTTGGGCCCTAGTTCTGGATTGTCCTTACACCCTACCTATTTAATCATAATGATCTCTCTCTATTTCTAGTATTTAAAATCAAAAGAAGCTAACTAAAACAAATTGAAAAAAAAGTATTTCTTAAAAATGTTGAAAAATAATGAACTT